AACAAATATCATTAAAAGAATTTTTTTAAAAAACCTATTAATGTTAGACAAAACCATCACAATGCACCATGAGCTGACTTTAAAATATTCTCAGAAACAGTGGAAGATTTCCTTTTTTCCTCTAAAGTAAAATAAAATGAAATCTTTTCCTAGGCTCCTTCAGATGATAAATCTTTGCACACTCGTTTTATAGCTTTTAATCAACTGCCGTAACACATAAAGACCACCTCAGCCATGTCAAAATATTCAGGCAGCTGAGTTTAATGAACAAGTTCTAGGTAGATGCCAATCTATCCAAAATTTACTCTTTTTTAGTCAATAGTTAGTCATGTTTGGCAATTTCATGAGCATCACTTACTTAAATTCATTCAAAGTGTTGTGTTGTTTTCTTTGTGAAGGGCAATGGTCAAAGTTACAGAGAGGCACACCTTTGGTTTAATTTACCTTTGTTGCAGATTGGCTTTATGTAGGGTCCCAAAGGACGTGATCTGATAAAAGTCCCCATTAAACTTAAAACTCTGATTCTTGCCTGTTTGAAATGATTTATAGGAAGAGTTTTCCTTTTGCTATAGTTTTTCTAGTCATTATCTGCTGAGTAAAAAAAATGATAATCTTCTTTCACAAATATATAGTTACAGAGACCAACCCAAGAGTTGGGAAAGCCTTGACTATGATATATATAAATGGTACTTAAATTTTAAAATAGAAAATTTATAGGTAGACATGAAACTGATACAAACAATTCACTAGAAAGAACCATAAATCTAAATGCAGTGATGCGGAGTGCCGGTTGTCAGTGGAAGGGAAAGTTTTGCTGTGATGAGGAGTATTCTCACATAAGTAAATTTTGGGTTACTCTCTAGCACGTTCAGATCAGTGCAGACTGCCCCTTGCACATGCTGTCGTGGTCTGTCGGCACAATACCATATACACGTCTACAGAAAGAAAAGGTGTCAGGTTCTGCACTGGTCTACTGCTTTCGCATTTTTGTATAAATGTTCTGTAAAATTCAACATACAGTGAACTGTCTGGAAAACACAAAGATTATGCAGGAGGTCAAGAAGAAAAGTGATCAAAATGATGAGTTTCCTTCTCGCCCTCAGGTCAGAAGAGTTTTGTGGAAGTGGTTGCAGTGACTCATTTTCATTCTGCTTTTTGTTGTTCAGGTTTTCATGCTTATTTTTGCTTTCTGAAAATAAATGCAGCAGATAAGAGTTACCGTTAGAAAGAACTTTAAGAAATGTATGGAGTTTACAATACAGCCCGCCCAAACGAGATCTCTTTTCATTTGGATCAAACGCCAAGAAAAGGTTAAAGATCTATCAGTTCATACAGGAAAAAAAAAGATGAGTAGAATCTGTTTTATCTTTTAAAATTTTCACTAAGACAAGTTACCAAATGTTTTTGAGAAAAATCCTTTATAATTTAGCTTTTAGTCGATGTGAATGAGTACCAACTCACCTTTCTCATTGTCAGTCCTGTGTGCAAAGGCACACACGTGAAAACTGCATCGATGCTTCACTCCGTGGCTCGTGTGATTTAATTCTCTTCTAGCCTTACAATAGCGTAACTGTGGTTAACTAATTAATAATTACTCCTTCTCATTCTATACACCTTGAAGACTGTACTTTAATCAAAAAGACAGAACATAAACCAAACCATAACATAATACTTGCCATTAGACAAGCTTTTGGGAGAGAGCTTTTAAATGAAGATATAATTTCTAACTTTGTCTAAATAGGGCTGTTTAATCACATTCCAGTTTGGGTTATTTTAGTATCTTTCCAATTTAGGCAATATTAGACTAATTTGATTCAAAATGCTCCTATTTTAAGGCCCAGCCCAACTTTTTACTTAGAACAGCATCGGTTACTTACTCCGTGACACCAAGTGATAATCCCTCAAAACACTCAACAAAACACTGACAGTTCCATAAGGGAAAACTCCTCATTCTCACCAGCCCTTCCCTCCCCGGGTGCCCGACTTGGCATTTTATTTTGAAGCAGTGGGCAGAGAGGAGGCTCACATCAGCTGGTTACACTCCCGTCTGCTGGCTGACGGCTGCCAAGCCTCAGTGCCGCGGCGCCGTGTACGGGCACGGGCCAGGTCTGAGCCCCCGGTCTGAGCAGAGGACATCACTGCACCTGGCTCTTCCCATCATGTTTTAGATCCCAGTGGTGCTCATCCAGTTACAACAGCTGTGCCGTACTCCGTGTGTGCTGATGAAAGTGAAAGGCTGTCCCCCACTCCCGCCAACACACGCACCCCCACCTATATGCAGCCCTTAGTGGATTTATCTTAATTCTTAAGCTTCTAATGCTGAACATCAAGCTTCCCTTAGCCTTTTGGGCCTGATTAAAGGCATAAGGACAAGGGGATTCTTTAAGTCAGAAGCTCATTGTTCATTCAGACTTAAGAGGAAAATAATTAAGATATTATCAGATGAGTTTGTATATATTGAAAAAACAGCGTTTAAAAGCCAAAGAAAATCACAAGTTAAAAAACAGAATAGTTAAATACTTACAATTCCAGAGTCATGCCTTGGTTTTATTTTATAAAGTGATTTTCCCTTTTTCTGTCTACACACCTCTTCAGCTTCTTTTACTCTGGGTGGGGAGAAGACACATGTATTTAAGCGAAGTCTTTCAAAGATCACTATAATCCACCTTATAGAAGGTGAGCAAGTGTCAACTTATTAAGGATTTGATTTATTAGAGAAAATAATACCACACACAGGAATGTTATCTGACATTTGACTTAAAAACAGAGTATTAGAGCTAGAGGCTGATTCACCCAGGGGTTCTCTTAACATCCAGGGGAATCAAAGGATGTTGAATGGACTGGTACACAAATAGTTTACATTTTTAGGAATACACTTTATCCTGTATTAAAGGAGCTATATAAAGGAAAGGAAAGAAATCTTTCATTTTCAGGTGAAGGTGCTGAGACTGGGTCTACTACATAAATAGGGTTGGCACTATTACATAAATCAGAAGTATTAAAATAATTAAATACACAGTATCAAATAAAAACTCATATGCTTATTTAAAATGATTTAATGTAATCTGTGCATCCATATCCATGACTATGAAAGTCATGCAATGAATACTTGGGACAGTTTTTTAAGAGACTGAGCTACATTAAGCATGGGGACCAGTCATTTGAAAACAGAAAAAAGAGCAATAATAATGTTTTAACACTTGCAGGATTTTTTTAAACACTTCAAGGAAAATAGTATTGAGTTTACCAGAGGTGCAGTTAAAAGCTAAGTTCTGCATTCAGTTCTGGCCCTGCTGGTTGATGCTGGCTAACGCCTTGCCACCACTGCCCTTCACATTCCCTCAGAGAGCCAGAGCGCTCAGTAATACATAATAGCATCACGATTACTACTACACAGACTTGTTGCCAATTGTGATGCTAAGATCAAAAGTTTTAAAAATTCTTTATAAATTATAAAATACTATAAAAAGTTACAAATGATTGCTTTAACTAAACAAATAGTAAGAAATCTGTAAACTGGAATTCTTTTTTTTTTTTTGAATTCTTTTTAATAAAAAGAGGGGCCATAAGAAAGAAAATAACCTATTAGGTCAATTTATTATTCTTATTTTGATTTTCGTTGGGAATTAAAAATAGTGCTTCTGGAGAAACTAAAAAAGGCCATGACTTAATAAAGAGACTTGTGTTACGTATATCTTGAAGCCTATTTCCTGAAAGAAATGGATTATAAATCTATTTCTTGAGCCTGATGGCAAACATTCTAATGATAAAATTCATCTCCTATACAGCTGAATAAATGCCTGTTTTTAAACAACAGAATGAAACAAACCACCTAGTGCAGCAGCTGTCAGATTACTGTCACCACTTAACGTTAAAGCATGACAAACGAAGGTAATTCCTTTTGGATGTAAAATGCCTGCTGAGTTGGTATTGTTAGTAATTTCAGAAAATGATGACAATTTAGAAGATACTCCATTGTTACCACTTGTATTACTTTCTTCCCAAGCCATAAATTGCCTTTAATATTTTCTCCAAACATTTGAATACAAAAACATTTTGTTTATAACAAACTAAAGATTGCAGAGCTCCCATCTTCCTCTGAAATAACTACCAGTAAAATACAAGTTGAACTATTTGGACAAGGAGTTAAGAAAATCTCTTTTTTTCTTTTGTTAGCACTTAGCCAAAAATCCGATAGATCCCCTCTTAAATTTACCAGGAACTCTTTATAAAGCATTTTGTGACTTTTAAAAAATCTACTTTGCAAGTATTTAAATCACCTTATTTAAGATCATCTTAATTTTCCCACTATCTTACTTATTTTGCTCTTAAAACACATTTTTAGAAGTATCACAGGAAGCTGAATCTAATACAAACATTTGATTTTACACAAAAACAAAGCCAGCCGTTCCTTACAGCAGAGACAATAAAAGTGAAAAGAGGACGTGGCTCAGGGAGCCCTGGCAGGTCTCTTGGGCCGTTCATGTGATGGTCATTATGGAGGTCAGGCACTGGGCTCAGCTTGACTTTATGAGGACAGTTAAATCCAGCGTCTAAAGGAGTGAGACCAACAGCCACCAGCAAATCCCACTGGCCTGTGGAGCATGAGCACCTGGGTCGGCAGAAGCCCAGCTGTGGCCCCGGGAGGTTCCTGGGGTTGGCGGGAGGGGTTACAGGAATCCGTCAGGAGCAGGTTGACAGGTGAGCTTTGTGTCAAAGAGAAACCTTAATTCTCCATACCTGTGTTAGAAGGGGAAATGGGACTGGGGAGGGAGAGAAGAGCGCTACATACGGAGTAACCTGGGCAGGGCTGGGGAGTCGGGGAGCGTGTCTCCCTTCTGCTGCCGCAGGACCCCCGGCGCTCAGGCCAGAGCCCACGCCCGCCTTCTGGTTCATGCCTCAGTGAGAAATCACTGTATCCTCCGCACCTCTAGGCACGCACACATCAGTGATTTGGGACCTGGAGCACTGAGCACCAGAATCCTGAACATGATTCAAATCTGGGAGCAGGAGATTCACGGTGAATTAGTTAAAATGCGGTTCCCAGGCCCACTTTTCTCCCTCCTGGTTGCATCCCTCAGGGATGCGTTTAGAAGCAGCACCAGGAGAATCCGCTGTAGGCGGCCCGTGGGCACTACTTTCGCAGCGCCCTGGAAGCCAGGAAGTCTCCCTGAAGCCCTGGCAGCCACGCGGTGCCCCTAGACAACCGCACCTACTCACCCCTCTAGCGACGCCATGCACCCCGGGGCCCCGGCCCCAGCCCACGGGAACTGGCTCACTGCCCCGCGCTGTGCGCCCCAGCCCTCTTAGGCTTCCTAGCAAACCTTGTTGGAATTTTACTTCAACAAAATTCTGACAAGACATTTTCCCCACACTTTAGGCAGGAAAAAAGAACGCACCCCTGAAGGTGAGATACTCTGCCAGAGTGGGTAGGAATGAGAAAAATAAGGAGGGAAGCCGGGTGGAGAGGGCCATGAGCAGCTTCCTACTTGGGCCTCCACCTGGGCGTCTGGGGGGAGCTCGCCAGCCCCATGCTCAGGCCTTCTGAGTAATCTCTTTCCCTCCTGCCTTGCCTCTCATTGAGCGATGCCTAAAATTTCTTAAACTGAGTAGGAAAAAGATGTTAATTTCAATAACTAGATACTAAGTGAAAAGGCACCGTGACGATAACGTTTCAAATTAAAATGACCAACATGTCCTATTTGGAAAGGAGTGAAAAGAGGACTGGTACTTCATTTCCGAAGAGAGAAAGCAGACGCCGCGAGGAAGGAGAAGCCAGGGCGTGGCTGAAGGAGCCCATCCTTCGCCTGCGCTGAGTTTACCGTCCACTTGGGACGGGTCCGTGGCCGGCGTGCAGACAGAGCTCCTGAGCGTGAGTCCTAAACACGCTTTTTTTTTAAACATGGCTGCGTTCACACAAAAGGGGCTGCCAGGACATTCGATAATCAAGGGTTTTTCCTATTAGAGAACTAAAAAGGAAGTGGAAAATTTTCAAATGGTATCTTTGGTAGGCTGATTCTAACAGCTGCTACTTCTGATCAGCAGTCTAGATCACACAAGGAAAGGAAGAACAAAAACAATGATGAAAACTTCTCTCATCACTGCTGGTGGTTTTGGAAAAACAGTAACACAAAGCAGAGACTGAATAGGAGAAGACTAAACAGTATATTATGGCTATAAAATTTGATGTTTATGTTAAATTTTGGTGTAGTATCTTTTATTGTCTATGCAGCTTCACATACAACAGTGTGCTGAATACATTTCAAAAGTGCACTTATCCCCAGAGGACCAAAAGTAATTAAAAAAAAAGCCTCTATCTTTTAAGGGAGAATTTAGTTATGGGAAATCTGTCCAAGAGACAGAGGGAATCAGGCTTGCTAAGCAGAGTACGTGATCAGTTTGAGCAAACAATTTTTGCTGTTAACTGTTGTTCTGGCACTGGTCAGAGAGTTAGAAAAATGGATAAGTGATGCCCAGAAAATGGCATCTTGCTCCCGACGAGGACCAAGTTTGACCAATTCTGAATAGTATTTTTGAAAAAATTAAACTTTT